AAACTAATGTTTAGCTGTCTAGGATTACAGAAAATTCACTGTCCCACAGTTAAACCTTGAGACTTTCCATTATTCACTTTTGGGCTTAAGTTTCCTTTCTTTGGTGCTAGGAAGAAGGGGTTTGAAAGATAGTTGAATGCTCCCCACTTTCAAATGCTTGCATAGGACTGCCCTCAATTCCATATCAAGTGCAGCAACATATAAAACAAATAGAAGATTAAAGTTTGGTTCTCTAAACATGAGCTGACTAACAAGTTTCCAATTCTTGGAAGCCTTTTTGGCTTTCAGGAATCCAGGGAACCCCGTTAGGTTTGTTTTTTGAGTTAAATATGTGAGAGATTTTGCTTTTGTGGAACAAAAAAATATAGAAGTATAGACATACATCAGTATCTGGGAAGTCCTAGGAACAACTCTAGTTTCTTGATTATTGAAGGTTATATCTCTTTGAATGCTGGTACCTCCTCTTTTAATTTAATTTGACTGGTTATGTTGCCAAACTAAGTGTTCAGAATTATCCAGTTTGCAGGATTAATACATAAAATAACTTCTTTAAGACTAGAAATAAGAGTCTTTCATTGCAGCAAAATTTTCTACCAAAAAGCAACGTAAATTGTATCACAGTCCAGATAGGCTTCATAGTACACTTTCCCCCCCTGCCTCGTAGGATTTTATCTATTCCCTAGAAGTGTCATGATAATCAAGATATTTTTATAAATTGAAACAGTGCTTGAAATGTTGGAAAGGCTTTCTTCTCTGTAGAACTCATCTCCAATTTTATTTGCCAGAACTCTTTGATCAACTATAGACAGATAATTGGAGCCACTTAACTGATCCTATAAAACTTCTACTCTGGAAAAAGGGCAACTGTCACTATGATAGGTTCATAGTTCAATGATACCTAACAAAATCTTACAGGGTGCAATTTACATCTTTTTCAGTGTGTATAGCTCTTTCTGGACTTTTTCTGGACAAGTGATATTTTGATTTTGCATTTCCAATGCCTGCTCTGTGTTCTACCAGGCACAATCTGGCTTGCTTTCCTCTAAAAACATTTTTTAAAGTTTTCTTTATTGTCATTGCACCTCATACAACAAAATCAAACATTTCTGAGATGGCTTTGTGTTTTGGAATGATTTTAGGACTTAGGTCTTCAAAACTTTTTTTTAAAAAATTGTAACATAAGTATATACGGTCTAGTCAAGATCAGCATCACTAGCATGTATGTGAAAGGAAGTTCAATTATCTCCCAAATTTGTTTTTTTTTAAAGTCACCCCCCACTTGTGTTGTGTTGGTGACTTTATCATACAAACCCAACCTAGAGAATGTAGAATAATTTTCCTCCTATAAAAAGGCTATGGAAAATAATTAAACTTATCCCTATCCATATATATGCTCCTAGACTTTGTTAGCCACTCTGCATTTTCATTATTGTAAAATTAAAATGAAAACCTACTGACCATTTTTGCATAATATGCTAACATAGTTTGGTTTTAACCTCATGCATTATGGGAACCCATTGTACTTGCTTAGCATGTCATATGAATCCAGCCAATTGTACTTATTTAATGGTTAAGCAAATATTGTATGGCTTAATGCAACATGCAAACTCAGCTATTATAGTTTCTATCAGTTTACAACACTATATAAAATAAAATAGTGTATAATACCAGCTGGTTAAATACTAGATAACCTGACTTTTATTTCCCATCGTTGTGCTCAGAGGGCATGCTAAACTACAAATTAGCCAGTCATATTAGTGTGTCAGGCCAACCAAGTCTGTTATGTAGAATTGAGCTATTGAATGGTAAAATATGGGTAACCACATCATATGAACACAACCTGGAGGGGCTTTTGTTATATTTTTGCAAATTGTTTGTTGTTTCTTATCCCAATGCTCTATCTTGCAAAACCACACGAGAGATGGCTAGGCTGCAGTTTTATGGCCTTTTTTCTTCCTATAAGCCTCCCTAAGTATGTTCCCAAAAGGGAAATGATAATGTAGAGAATTGAGGATGGTGAGCCCTAATTGTCACAGCTTGCTTGGGGATTAATTTAAAAAAATGACTCTAGATATTTCTTAGCCTGGAGTGTAAATAAGCTCCAAGGGAAGACTTTTCGTACATGCTTCCCCTCCTACTTAAGTAGCAGTTCATTAATTAACTAAACTTGGATGCTGTTAAAAAGTTAACACTTTCTCTTGACAGCATCAGACTAATCAGGTGCATCCCTGGAAGCCCCAGAGGCAGTTGGCCTTCAGTTGCCATTGTGGCTTCTCCTCTTTATAATAAGTACAGCTTTCAAAGCAAAATCATTGTGCATTGCTGAGGCAGGAGAACATGAATTGAGGCCTACTGGCATTCCTTCATGGAGGGAGCCCCACATGCTTTTCCTGAAGAACCTGGTGGGATGGGCAGATATAACTGGGACAAGGAAATTGCTTAAGTAATTAGGTGCCCATGCCAGATAAGACATTCTGAACATTACCAACATCTTTAACTGAACCCAGAAGCAAACTGATAACTAATGTGACTTGTAGAGCCAAAGTGTAACATGCACTGATCTAGATATGCACATAAATACCCATGCTGTCACATTTTATACTAGCTAAATATTCTGAATTATCTTCAAGGATAATCCTTATAAAGCACATTAGTCACCCATGAAAAGGTGACCAGGCATGAGTGATTGAGCTAGAGCCATATGATCCAGAATGGGCACAATTGGCACATAAGCTTAAGTCAGAAATGCCATCTGCTCATCAAGCAGGAGTCATGAGTTCAGAAAGACCCCCATATCATGCACTGGGTTTATCTTGGGCAGCACTCGTTCACCCGGAGCCACTAAATCAGAGTGGAACTAAAGCCTTTGTTTTCCATCCAGATATAAAAAGACTCCAGGAAATGAGACAGGACATCAAAACACCAATACTTTACCAAAAGGTGGAGATATACAGCTGGGTACCATCAGCATAGTGATGATACTATACCCTATAGCTATAGATGATTTCATCCAGAAATTAAATAGAAGTAGAAAAGTAGACAAAATACCGAACACTGTGGCACCCCACAATGTAGGAGCCAGGGGCATCTCTCACTTCTAATGAATAGTGATTGAAACCTTACAATACTATAAGGCAGAAGGAGAATCAGCACAACATTGTTTTGCCTAACTCAACCTTGCAGCCAGCCAAGAAAGATATTATGGTTGATGGTACTGAAAGCTACCAAGGTCGTGAAGCAAAGATGAATGCACCAATTATTAGATTTTTAATCCCACCTTTATTACTTCATAAGTAACTCAAGGCAGCAAATTTACCTAATACTCCTTCCTTCTATTTTGCCCACAACTACCTGTGAAATGGGTGGGTTGGGCTGAGACTGGCCCACCCCACCCACTTTCATGACTAAGGTAGGACTAGAACTCATAGTCTCCTGGTTTTTAGGCCAGCATCTCATTCTGTATGCCAAATTGGCTCTCCAATGTCCAAAAGGTTTAGACACACTGTTCCATGCATTCATTCAACTGCCTTTTAAAGCCATCTGAGTAATTGGTCATCACTATTCTAACCTACCACTAAAGTCCATAAGCACACACAGGCTGGGGTTGGCTATCATCCAATATTTAAAATGGACCAGAGGTTATTTGATAAATCACAATTGGAAACTATGTTTTACCTCTACTGACTGAAGCCACAGTTCTGAAATGAATATATGAAATGAAACCATGTAGCTTATTTGTACTTTCATGAGTTTGTCTATGGGCCATGCGCCAAAACTTTACAGAATTGTAAAGCCCAGGGAGCTATAAGTAAATACACCAGAAGTTGGTAAAAAAACAAAAACACCTATGATTATGTTGCTTCCCTGTTTGATCAACAAACTAGGGATATAACAAGCTATGGTTTGTGAGATGTGTGAGCCAAAACATTACTGAACTTTGCTAGTGATGGAAGGATCTTGGACTGCAATGTAGGGGATGGATGGTCTGCAAAATATTACTTTCTGTTCCAGTAACATTTTATTATTGACATACTTCCTGACATATAAATCTTCTGTTAATGGAGCAGATACTCAAATGTGTTTGTTTTATTTTACTATTATAATTACCTAAACAAAATCAAGATGCCTCCATTTGTTGAGTACGAAGCCAAGAGCATTCTTCTCTGCCTGCTCAATCCATTGTTTCTATAATTAAGCACTGAATCTGAAATGAAAAACACCACCACCACCAACCTCTCCCTTTGATGAACTGAAGTACAGCAAGCAGATGGTGATATGACTGACAGAACCCAATCATTGTTTGTTTGGAGAAACAGGTTGCATTTTTCCATCTGCATGGCAGGACAGTTTCCCTAGAAAGAAGCTCTCTGACTCTCCTGTCAAGTAAGCGAGTTTTGATTCCACAGACATGCAAACGTAAGACACTACTTTACACCAATTAACATATAAGACATTTGGGATCTGCCCAATGTTGCTGAATTGCCAGCAACACGAGCCATGAGGTATATTGAGATCTGCAGATACATGGTTAGGGAACTTCTATCATCGATGTAGTCCAAATACCATATCTTATTACTGCCTTCCAGGATCTCAGGTGCAGATTTCCCAACCTCTGTTCTTTGATATCCCATTAAGTGGAAATATAATAATTTTTCACGCTTTTCCATGCTACAGAGGCAGTCCCCAACTTTTCACCCCAAGTAAGCCCAAAATTTCTGTTGCTAAGCAAGAGAGTTGTTAAAGGAGTTTTCTCCCGTTTTATAACTTCTCTTGCCACAGTTAAGTAAATCACTGCGGTTGTTAAGTTAGTAATAGTTAGTAAATGAAATTTGGCTCATTTGACTTTGTCAATAGATCACAAAAGGAAATCACGTGAATCACTGTGAATGTCATAAAAAGATGCCAGTAGCCAAGTGTTCAAATTTTGATCACATGAATATGGGAATGCTACAACAGTCCTAAGCGTGAAAAAAGATCATAAGTCACTTTTTTCAGTGTTGTTGTAACTTTAATGGTCACTGTATGAATGATTGTAAATCGAGAACTACTAGTATGTGTGCTCAAAAAGCCACTGTTATCTACAGCAATTTCATCACAGTCTTACTACTCTAAAATTCAGACAGATTCACATACTGCTTTATTCCTAGATAGAAAAAGAAAACAAAATGAAAAGGTGTTGGTAACCTTCTCAACAAAATAAAACCAAACTGGCTTAAAAATATAAGTCAGTAATACATTAGCTACATACAGAGAATATTGTGCTTTCAATAGAAGAGAATATTTGTAGATCAGGGTTGAACTAGGGGGGGGGGTGTCCTCAGTGCTCTCTTAGTTTATTTTTTTGCCCATCTGCAAGAAAACAACTAAGCTCATAGAGCATCAGGGACCCCACAATATTGTGCTTCTTATTTGTTGCTGCAGCCTTATCTATGGACTGCCTTGTTGGGAAAAGCCAAGTGTTAATGTAGTGTCCCGTATGTAGTCAGATATTTCTGGGAGATTATATCCCAGCATGCAAAGCATATGCTATACTATTGCACTACAGACAGACTAGAGGCAGCCATTGGACACTCTCCATCTGTGTCCTTCTACATCAGATTGTATGGTCTGCCTGTGGTGGCACTATCCCTTGTAGAATCACAGTGGTACCCAGAAGGCAACTTTCTAGTTTGCAAGATACCACAGCAGACATATTTCCAGATTAAAGGACTCAAAGTAAGCCTTGATGCCACCTATCTCCATAAGCCACAAGGGTTGGATCAAGCAGCAAAAAAGGCCCAGATGTTCTAAATAGTATGAGGCTGCATGGAGGTTTCCGAAGTAGGATCTCCTTTCCAGGCTGTAATGGCGTTTTCCCCGGTAGCTTCTCCCTTCCAGGTTACTAGACGACTTTCTGCCTGGCTCGGATCTCCTGCCTTCCAACCACTGATGGTGCTCTCAGCAGACGGCTCCCCTGCTTTCCAGGCCACAGGAGCAGGGATGATGCTTGCCTCTGCAGCAGGAGTAGCCGTGGTGGCAACATTTGGTTTCTCCTTCCAGTCTGCTGGGGAGGAGGATGTGACAAGAGCCCCGGGGGCATCTGATGGGCCCCCTTTCCAGGCAGTGTGGGTGGTCATGTGACGCTCCAGCAGAGTACGGTGAGAGAAGTATTTGTTGCAGATGCAGCACTGGAAGCGTTCAGGGCGGTGGGTGCGCATGTGCACGTTGAGGGAGCTCTTCTGGGTGAAGCGCTTGCAGCAGATGGAGCACTGGAAGGCACGCACACCAGTGTGGGTCACCATGTGCTTGAGCAGATAATCCCGCAGTGAGAAGGAACGCCAGCAAATGCTGCACTGATGGGGCTTCTCACCTAGAAAGGGAACAGCACAGCAGGCTTGTTGAGAGGGCCAAATTTTCCTTTCTTAACAAAGAAGTTGCTCTCCAATGGGAAGAGGGGGGGGGAGAAACCAACCGACACCCCTCCTTTTATAATCCCAAAGCATCCCCAGATTATGGAGTCCTGTTAAACCTTTCTTTAGTTTATCACATCTATTTTTTTTTAAACTTAGTCCCAGTGCAAAAGCAACACAAAAAGACAAAGGCCTTCTTTCCAAGAATTTCACTGAAATCACTGCATTACTCTTTGCAGTTCTTGGGGACTCAGAAAAACAAGTTTTCTTCACAGCTATAAAGAGCTGCCTTGTCTGTTTTGCAATGCAGAGATCATTTCACTGAATAGAGTAACAAGGCAGGCACTGTGGTTATCTCTAGGACAATTACCACGACCTACACTGTACAGTATACAGGTTGTCCCTCTACCCATCACAATTCTGGGAGGCCCAGAATCTTGGATGCTGAGTGAAGCAGTTATTAAGTGACATGCCACATGACCACTTTGCTCAATGGTGCAATCCAGACTCTCCCAGTTGTGGTCATTAAGCAGCCATGTGTGTTTTAAGTGGAAGAGGGCTTGGGTCTCCTGGTCACTGTGGGCTGGGAAAAGGGTTTGGGCCTCCCACCTCATCTGGGAGCCTTGGGCACTCTCCCCATCCCATTGGGGATAACGATCACAAGAATGATGGCATTTGCTAGTGTTTTTGCCATATTTGAGCTCCATTCTTCTAGCACTAGGGTGTCAAACTCACATCGCCAGGGCGTCATCGTGTGATGTATTAGGCCTTTTCCCCACAAACGGATTTAGCTAAACTGGGCATGGGCATGGCCAGCACATAACACATCCAGCCCGCAGGCTGGGAGTTTGACAGCCCTGTTCTAGCATGTTGGAGAATTTCTCCTCCCTGTATGGGGAAGAAAATCTATCCACGCATATAATCCTTTGGGGATTGTAAAACGGCATGATGTTTTACAATGGCTAGAAATGTTTCCCCATTCTAAGGCTGTTCTGACTGCATGAGGTCATTAAACAACTGATCATTAAATTGAGGGCTACTTATATTGCCCTCAGGTAATTAAATGGTTATTAAATGGACAAATTTTCTTGGCAAGTGGTTGCCATTGCTTGCTTCCTAGGGCTGAGAGTGTCTGGTTCAAGGACACCCATGCCTAATAGATTTCCTCATTCCTCACTTATTAGATCAAGTAGGCTCTCTAATTATTATAATGATCTGGATTAAAGGCAAAAAAGAGTCTTCAGAAAATTTTGAGATGTAATTTTCATCCCTGTCTGCAGGTCAAAGCAGCTATGTCCTAGTGCCGTGATGGCGAACCTATGCCATGAATGCCACAGGTGGCACACAGAGCCATTTGTGCCGGCATGCAAGCTGCAGGCAAACTTACCTCACTGCGCACGTGCGTACCTAACAGCTGATTTTCGGCCGGTTTGAGGTCTTTTTCGGCCTCCCAAAGGCTTGAGGAAGGCTTCTGCAGGCTTTGCAGGCCAAAAACTAGCCCTGTTTCATCAGTTCCTGTTTTTCTGAAAATACCGGAAGTGACGAAATGGGGCTAGTTTTCAGCCTGCAAAGCCTGCAGAAGCTTTCCTTAAGCCTCTGGGATGCCGAAAAAGGCCTCAAACTGGCCGAAAATCAGCTGTGAGGCATAGTGCAGGTAAGGGGGCAGCAGGAGGTGGGGGGGTGGAGATTGCGCGTGTATGCATAGAGGGTGTGTGTGGGGGGAATACATTGCCTTCTGGGTGCTGGCATGCGAGCATGAGCATGCAAGCGCACACACAATTTTTGACACAGGAGCCCAAAAAGGTTAGCCACCACTGTCCTAGTGACTGTAATGCTGTGTTTGCAGCAATCTGTGCTAAGATTCGTTTGCATTCTAAGACTGGCTTCTTGTAACCAGAGGTGGTATTTAGCTGATTCTGACTGGTTCTGGCGGACCAGTAATGGAAATTTTGACTGGTTCGAAGAACTAGCAAATACCACCTCTGCCCCTCCTCTCCCCTTGCAGAAATGCCCACATGCCCCGTTTTGGCTCCCTAGTAAGGAGGCTGACTAGGCCCAAAATGGCCTGCAGGAAGTGCAGGGTCCCCCGTGCTCCGTTTTGGCTCCCAGGAGGCTGCAGGGTGGTCTGCTAGGCCCAAAACAGGGCACAGGTGTGTACGGTGTGCCCTCCAGTTTTGGCTCCAAGAGGCTGCAGGGAGGCCTGCTAGGCCCAAAACGGGGCACGAGGGGTGCAGCGCAGCCGCCTCCACACCCTGTTTTGGTTCCCAGGAGGCTGCAGAGAAGCCCTCTAGGCCCAAAACGGGATGCAGGACAGATGCGGGGTGGGCCCCCGTGTCCCATTTTGACTCCCAGGAGGCTGCAGGAAGTGCTGCTAGGCCCAAAACAGGGTGGGGGTGTGGCTTAAAGAGAGAGAGAGAGAGAGAGAGAGAGAGAAAGAAAGGGGGGAAGGGAGAATGAATGAAAGAGGGGAAGGGGGAGGGAAGGGAGAAAGAGGGAAGGGAACGGAAAGTGAATGGATGGATGGACAGATGGATAGAGGCAAGGAAAGGAGGGAGGGAAAGAAAAAGGAGAGGAAGAACGGACCATAAAATCCCTGGCCTAGACGCAGATTCAGAGGATGTTTTGAAACAGCACAGCAATCCAGGGCTGGAAGGGACCTCGGAGGTCATCTAATCCAACCCCCTGCTCCAGCAGGAGACCTTATATAATCTTGGTTATTTTGGTGCCTCTAACACAGAGGAGAAATTCCCAGAAATTCCCAGGCATTGCCAACTTCTCCTCCCTAGTAAAAAAAAAACCCTAGAGCAAAAACTTCATGCAGTATTAAAAAGAATAGAAAAGTGGACTGCTGTGTATTGTTTAATGGACTGCTAAATTGGCAAAGTGGGCTGCTAAATTGGCCATGCCCACCCAGTCACATGACCACATAACCACACCCACCAAGCCATGCCCACAGAACTGGTAATAAAAATCTTTGAATCACAATACTGATTGTAACCATGATTATTTGACCCAGTCATAGTGGCTTATCCTAAAAATCAAACAAATTCCATCAACAGTAGTCACCAAGTTTGTCCAAAGTTAATTGAAAATTAAATGAAATTACTACGTTTAGTTAAAGTGGTGGAATTGAGAAAATCTATTTAGGAAAGGGTTTTTAGCCACACATTGTGTTTTATTTGGGACACACTCACTTTTTGTTTTAACTGTACCAATTTTCCTTTTGCCCCACCCCTATGAGGTTTGCTAATATGTTCCACTAAACCATGTCTGATGGCTCTCAATTTAAGGAATTTGTGCACAAAACAACTAATATTAAGTTGGTTTGGCTTCCCTAAGACCCAAATATTTCAATATCCAATACTGGTTTTCCAGCAGGATGTCAGCGGAGAAGGAAATTGCAAAATGTTGACAGGAAAAGACATTGCAGCAATTGCAAGAAACCAGATTTTCTCACCTTGAAGCTTCTTGCATCAAGTTTCTTGCATTTCCTCCATTCACTCAGCCATTCTCCTTAAAACATTTATTATCAAAACAGCCAATCCTACTTTCTTTCCATTATCATTTGTATTTCAACAGTAAAATTTGAGTTAGGTGTGACTTGGGCAATTTAGTTTGTTTTTATTTTCTAACTTTCATCCATCTGCACATTATTACAGGCAGTCCTCGACTTACAATCATAACTGAACTCAAAATTTCCATTGCTAAGCAATATAGTTGTTAAGTGAGTTTTGCCACAATTGTCCCAAAGGTGCTTTTTCAGGAGGCAACTGGGCTTTCTTGTTTTTTCTTTTGAAGTTTTGCTTTGCATCCTTTTTAGGTCATTGAAGCATTTGTAGGTTTATCTGTGTCCTCACAGTCACCTGAGTAGTGCTCCTGGTTCCTGTGGTCTGTAATTTTTCCTCTGGAAATCCATTCCCACTCCCACCACACCATTCAAAGGATGTTCATCCCAAATTGTATAACTAAATGTTTGTAGGATTCTCAGTCATCCAGGTCATGGTTGTCCCTCAATGACTCGCTAAAAGAATGCAAATAACCAGCTGTCTGTAAGGAATATAAATCCTTCCATTCCCCACTATCCTGTCAGAGCTGAAGAAGCTTCTTGGATGAGAAGTGAAACGTCTTCAAAAGAAAAAACAAGAAAGTCCAGTTGCCTCCTGAAAAAGCACCTTTGGGAAAACCATGACCTGAATGACTGAGAATCTTTACAGACTTTTGCCACAATTGTTAAGTGAATCACTATGGTTGTTAAGTGAGTAACAGGGTCATGAAGGGAATCTAGCTTCCCTATTGACTTTTATTGTCAGATTGCAGAAGGTGGCATAACGCTGGGACAATGCAACTATTATGAATACATGCCAGTTGCCAAGTGCACGAATTTTGATCACGCGACCATATGGATGCGGCAATGATTTTATCTGTGAAAAACAGTCATGAGTCACTTCTGTCAGTGCTATTATAACTTTGGTCACTAAATGAATGGTTCTAAGCCAAGGACTACCTGTATTGGTTCGACGGTTTGCTTTATTTTTAAATATCTGTGGCTCTATTTGTATTTTTGTGTGCATCTTTCCTGGTTGCATGTATTTACTTACAACTTTTTTGGGAAACCAGCAAGAAATGTTCTTTTTTTCTAGTGCAGTGTTTCTCAGCCCGAGTAACATTAAGATTTGTGGACTTTAATTCTTCGAATTCTCCAGCCAGCACATGCTGGCTGGGGAATTCTGGGAGTTGAAGTCCACACATCTTAACTATCCAGGTTGAGAACCATTGCTCTAGTCTAGGGCCAGCTCCTTGTGTCTGCCTTCGTTTACCATTCTCTCAAAATAGTAGGAAAAACATGACCTTGTTCAACCACTGAACAGTGATATTTTCTGAGGCCCAGCCTTGTTCTTCCCCAGCACTGGCAACCCACTTCCCAGGCTTAATGATTTCATTACCAGAATGGATGAACATATGCTTGGTGTAGTTCTTCCGAGAGCTGAATGTTTTCTGGCAGTGGCTACATTGATAGGAAGGTTCCAGGCAGCGGGAGGTTCCAGGTTGTTGGCTCTGCTGCTGCTCCCCAGAATGAAGGGCACTGGTGACCATTGTGTTGGGGCTCAGCTGCATCATATTGCTGGCACCTGACTCCTGCTGCTGCTGCTGCTGCTGCTGAATGCTGTAGAAGGTCTGGGCTACGCCACCAGGCTGGGGCAGATGGAACTGGAAGATGCTGGTATTACTGGTGACTGTGCTGGTATTAGTGACTTCCGCCTTGAGCTCCCGCTGGATGCCTAGGGAGGAGACAAAGGTCAAGCCCTCAGCCCCACCACTGCTGCTACGGGGTGGAAACCCAGAGGTGGAGCCACTTAGGTCTTGCTTGAATTCTCCTGTTAAGTTCCTCAGATTGGAAGCCTCCACATTGCAATCAGGATGGAATTTCTCTCTATCTCGAGAGGTGGAAACAGTAGCCTCTTCTCCACTCTCTTCTCCCTGCCAGGATGGGATGAAGGACTCGGAAAAGACATCCTGATTTCCAAAGAAATCCTGACCTTCCGGGGTGGCATAGTCCAAGTGGAGGCTCTCCTTCCGGTCAGCTCCACTGCTACCCCCAGAGTCCTTTGCCTGGTCACTGAAATCAGCAGCAAAAGGGCCGCTCCCACTGCATTCAACAAAGCAGCTCAGTTTGGCCTCTCTTTCTGTCTCCGACCCCTCTGGGCCTTCCCCACTACCTTCCTCTTCATCTTTAATTATCACCGGCATTGTCTCAGACAGCTGAAGCCTCACTGGCTGGCGCTGCTTGCGGCTATGGCAACTGGGGGCAGATTCAGTGGAGTGCAGGTAGGAACCTCCTGTGTCTCCTTCACTTATGGTCCCCTCACAGGCAGCTGCCCGAGCTTCTCTGTGCTGGGAGGACAGCAAGTCTCGCAGTTTATACCGCACTTCTGAGGCACAAAGCAGCTTAGGGGGTTCAAGGTGGGCAGCGTCAAGGTCACCTGGTCGTGAGAGGCTGCCAATGACCTCTTTGGATTGTTGCTCTGGGGGCTTGCCCGGCAGAACTCTGGGAAGGGAGACGGGTACCGCTGGAGCAACAGTAGGAGGTTTTGGGCTGCGATTCTGAGAGATGATCTGTGTGCATTCGTCAATGACAGTCTTGATTTGCAAGATGGAAGCAGCGGTGAGGATCTGCAGAGCTTCAGACTGGGCTACCACCAGGGAGCCACTATACATAAACTCCACCAACTGACGTACTACCTGGCTGGGGACCACGGGGGGTACCTCAATCTCCGAGTAGCCCAACAAGAGTTTATCATGGAAAAAGGGGCTTCCAGCAGCCAGTACACACCGATGAGCTCGCAGGGTGGCCTCCTGGATGTGTACTGTTACATCACAGAAATGACCACCTAGACGTTGCCCATTCAGGGTCTCCAGAAGAGACTTGCTGAAGTTCTGCAAATGAATATAATGAACAGCTTCGGCCATTTTGTCTTGTATCCCACTGGAATCTTTACAGCTCTAGAGCCTTCAAAATATACTCTGCATCACAAACAAGGTTGCCAGGCAAGAGAATCTCTAATAGAAATCCTGCAACAACATTGGAGAGAAATAAATTATCAGAGATGCCTCAGACGCTAACATTAACTTGGCAATCGTAAATCAAGGATAAGTTGATAGCAATAGCACTCAGACTTATATACCACTTCGCAGTGTTTTACAGCCCTCTCTAAGCGGTTTACAGAGTCAGCATCTTGCTCCCAACAATCTGGGGCCTCATTTTACAAACCTCGGACAATCAGAAAAGAGATAGCATAGATTGCAATTGGATAGTGGGTGGGCAAGAAGCTCACAAGGCTTCTTGTTTCTCACACTGTAAAGGAGACAAGAATGTGGAGAGTGAATTGTGATAATGTAGCTTTACAATAAAGTAGAATTATCTTATATTTTATGGACACTGAGAGCATTTGCACCAAGACAAATTCCTTGTGTGTCCAATCACACTTGGTCAATAAAGTATTCTATTCTGTCCTGTCCTGTCCTGTCCTGTCCTGTCCTGTCCTATCCTATCCTATCCTATCCTATCCTATCCTATTCTCCACGTGGTAGAGCTGACATGGTACAACAGGATCTTATTGTGTAATACTGGGCACAGCTTAATGCCTGAGAGACTTTATCTAATCTGGAAAAGCTAAGCAAGGGTGGATCTTATTAATATTTGGATGACAGTAAAGCCAAAAACTATAGACTGGAATGAGAGATCAAAACAACATTCCAGAAGGCAATAACAAGCAGCATTTGTATATCTGCATGAGCCACCAGTAGTTATTTGACTGAATCAAATTATTGATTAACAGAGATAATCAAATTATTACTAATAGAGAAAAATAGCTCAGTGGCTAGTTTGGTCACACATTCCCTCACTACATGTGGGAATTTTCATTTTCGGGTGGAGTGGGATCGATGATTCAGTACATAAGTACATATTCTGCAATGTAAGGAGGAAATCCCAGCTTCCAACTTTAGTATCTCCAAATAAGAGTCCAGGCAAGAGATAATGAGAAAGTTGTCCAACCAGTCATTTAAAAAAATTCCAATTTTGCTTTTTCAAATTCTAGTTTTGCTTTGATGGGAATTTGCTTTGATGGGAATTTGCTCATCAATGAGGCTTTTCAGAGAGGAAAGACTGAAAGACATCAGATCTTGCCATAACGTTGAATATCAAGTGTGACAGAAGTTTTGTTAAATGTAAAATGTACTACTTAATTGAGTATGTAAGTCTAATAATCGCCTTAGCATATGTAAATCTATACTCCACCCAAAAGCCACAGAGCAATAAAAATCTAAGAAGATTTCAAACATTCATATACAGTAAGTATGGATGAACAGTAGGGCAAACACTGCAAAATAGATATAGGAAATAAATAATAAGTACAAACCTGCCTTGTCAACCTTGCTATCTCCAGATGTACGAAGGCAATGTAACTATAAGAAAACCTAGGAGTTGTATTTCCAACACATATAGAGGACATCCAGGCAAAACTGCAACATATAAAATCAGTTTGTTTAAAAATACAGGCAACCAGATAATTATAGATAGAATTGTTTAACTGTAATCTTACTGAGAGGCAAACATAAACCTAACTAGAGAGGATATTATGAGATGATTTCAAGCCCTTTAAAAATGGAGTGGTCTTTAAAAGTTTTTTCTGGGCAACTACATACAGTGCATGCTGCCTACTGAAAAAGAAATTGATACTCTATCTAATCTTGTCTATAGGGGAAAAAAAGACAGTCTGCCAGGAAAGCCACCAGGAATAACTCCGAAATGCTGGGGCTAATTAAAAAGTCCTGACTTACTTTTTTATGCACAGAAAGTTTCTATCTCTGGTTACTGCGTTTGGGCCTTATCCAGCCAATATATATATATATATATGATATATGATATATAGAGATAGATAGATAGGTAGGTAGGTAGGTAGGTAGATAGATAGATAGATTATTCACACTGGCACAAAATGATCCTGGATATTGGACCAGCTCCCGGGTGAGTAATTAAATAATAGGAGTTATTGGATTTCAAGTTTGACTAGTGAAATACACTCTTCGCAGACTCAGAGCTATGCGCTTTATTCTCATGATTGCACGAGCTCCGGAGTTGAACTCTGCCTCCGCATCCGCCCCATGACTCGAACCACAACAGTCAGCATCTAAAGCTCTACCGCACCTGTGCCAAGAGAAGCCAGCCGTCCGGGCTGCCGATCATTCAGTACCTGTACCTGGGAACGGAACCGGCATGGGGCTTTGGGAACAAAGAGGCGTGGCGAGGACCCAGTGGGCGGGGCTTATGTTGGAGGTGGAGCCCCGCAAACCTACCTTCCCGGTCTGGCTTTTCTACGGTGACCTCCTTCCGTGTACTGTACGTCGCCTCTCTCCTGGCACTTCCGCACCGTGCCGTGTTGGCGGGCCGCGAATCCATAGAGACAAAAAGGGTAGAGTAGACTCCCTAATCTGAGAGTCTCCATTGTTGACTACAATTCCCAGCATCCGTCAGTACACACCGGTTGGGATCTATGGTCGTAGTGAAAGGAAAGATTAGGGCGGGCTGCATAAAGTAGAGTTTCTGCTTTTCTTTGGCAGGAAGGGCAGGAAAGCGCGGGAAATGCGGCAAGCGTTTCCTTTCTTCGCAAACGTTTATAGGCTGTCACAGAAACTTTTGTCGCAATAATACTTAATTGGAGGAAATTTGTTAGCCCACCTTGGCTGCCCATACTAGACTTCCGGAACTTAACTGCCCTTCAGATATATCGACTAGTATTTCAATGATGAACTTGCTCGTGTTAGTGGCGGGAATTCTAAATTAACATTTCTAACCGGCATAATTTTGTGAAAGGGTAAAAATAGACCAACCTTCTCTAGATGGGGTTTCTTTCTCTGTCTCCAAGTTTGTCCAATTTTACCTCAAACTGCAAACAGAAGGGGGGGGGAGTAATTAAAGTTGTTTAAATAGCTCCCTGCAAAGCAGAGGAAAAAACCTGCCTCCTTTCTTGACACCGTAAGAAGCCCCTCCCCAGATATTTTTTATTCTAAATATTAAGAGAGGCAAGGTAGAATATTTCCCCAAAGAAGTGGAAAAACATGTTCTTAAAGGCAGAAAGTAGCCTCAGTCTTTTTTAATAGCCTCAAGCAGAAAGCTCAAGTCTTTAAAGATGGATAATTTGTACCTATTAAGAAAGACTGGGACAATTTTCTATCGTAAACAAAATGCCTTTAGACACAGCTCTCACGGCTGATGGGAATAACAATTTACATTGCCCACTCAAATTCTAAGGATAGGACATGACTTTTAGGATATAAAAGTCACCATCCTTGAAATAGTAAAAGACACAAGGCTCAATATATTGCACAACCCCCTTGGAGCATCTCAATCACAAAATTCCAGAACCCTATAAAGATCTAGCTACTCACTCAGCCATTTTGTCCTCCACCCCAGAAACATTGCTGCTGTCACTGAAGTTTCTGGAAATCAAATAAACTGTCATCCCTTGCAGTCAGCCTTCATTTTATTTCCAGTGCAATTCTCCTCGCTTGGAACTGGATTTTTCTTCCCCCAAAATAAATCAGTAAAGAAGGGGAAACATTTCTTTTAAAATTTCAAGTTACCAGATCAACTAAATATAAAAAATCCCAATATTGTGTGCTCCCACATTAAATTGGGGAAAACTTAAGATCCAAGAATAGGTGTCTACCATAGTTATTTGAGCTGATAGTGTAGCTTGGTAATCAGACAAAGAATGTATGTATTTATTTATAAATACAATCTTCACCTGATTACCATGCTGCACTATCAATCCAAATAACTTTTGTTATTTCACAATGGCTTGCACAAGGATTTCACTTTACCTCCAAACAGCAACCTTGTCAAATAATTTAGATAAAGAGAGAAAAGCTATGTCAGTCACCCAGAAAATTATCTTTTGACAAGATAGCTTCTATTTACTGGAAGTTGGTGTGAAGAAGCCAATGTCACATAGTATCAAGAAAAAGCAAAACTTTTATTTCTGTACTGAAGTAGAATAGGTCACTGCTGAGTTTCATGCCCCAGGAGCACCCAAGAAATCAGGCACAATTATTTTTGTACAATTTACTGCAGGAAACATAATTGCTGATTGGTTTACATTTTTCACACAAAAGATGGAAGCTCTCCTTTCGGTAGTGGGGGTGGGAGAAGAGGACTGGGAATAGTTTGCTGCCAAATCATAACTACGGTTAAAATTTCAGATCTCAATCTGGTTTCATACAGACAGCTTTAAATTTATTTCCAAGTATCCAGCATTTTGATATACAAGATAAATTTTATAACAAAAGGAAAACTATTTCAAACAAAAGGAAAATAAAATATTAGGAGGGAGGAAGAATAATTCTGTTTTTAAATATAAGAAAGAGAAACAAGAGATACAATATATTCTAAATTAAATAATACATTATGATCTACCCCTTTAAGAATAAGGCAGTTGGCAATTGGCACTATATATTCTTTGTTGTGTGTGCATATATGTGTGCATTTCTCAGATTTGTATTGATGCTATTCAGCTCAAACATCAGTGCTCTGGAACAGTGGTTGCCAACTGGTGGGCGGCAAGAAAATTTTGATGGTCTGCAGAGAAATGTCCCCACTGCAAAGCACTCCCCCAAAGCAATTAATCCAGGCTGCTTGGGAACACAAGGCTGCACTGACCACATAGCCCGCCCACCCACTGCCACCCCACCCTTCGGCTGAGTGCAAACCTTACCTTGAGTAGAGCCATGCAAGCTGGAACTGAAAGGTAAGACCAACGGCAGGGGAGGGAAATCTGGCCCGGGGTGGCTTGCTGACATTGGTGGGAAAGTCGGTCCCATATTCCAGAGCTGCAGTAGTCACAAGACTGACCCTTTGTTCATCCCAGAGCAGCTCCTCCAGTCCATGACAAGCCGGTGCACCTAGGTGGAAGAGCAGCTGCTTCAGGATGACCAGAAGGCCAGTCCTGTGACTACTGCAGCTCTGGAATATGGGACCAACTTTCCCATCAACCTCAGCAAGCCACCATCAGTCAAAATTCATATTAGTAGTCCACGGAATTTAAAATTATGAGTTTGGTGGTCCCTGAGGTCCAAAACGTTGGCGAACCCTGCTCTGGAAGACAGTTTGATGTAATGGTTAAGGTATCATTAACCTGAGTCCTAATTCTGCCTTAGGTCTGCAGGACCTTTGGCCAGTCACTCCCTCTCAGGACTAGTTTGCAGAAACAAACTACTTTTGAAAATTGGAATTAGGCCAGGCAATTGTCGAGAGAAGAGAAAAAACAGGCACACACTTTAAAAAAAAATCATTGCAATTGAGTTTTTGGCACAAACTTTTAATCATTCCTACATCTTGATATTTTATGTGAAATTTTTATCCTAGCAAATAGTCCCAAAGAAAATTATACTTTTGGGGAGGAAAAATGGAGTGCTGTGCACCTGATTTAAAGTTTTAAAACTATTCTGTCTTAAAACATAATGTAAGCTATCTCTACCCCCTAATGGAATGTATCTCTGTTTCTAAGACTTAGAGACTGCAAAAGATTTCAGCCTGGTAAATGTCGTGTCCGTCGAGAAAGGAAGCTCGGAGTCAGTGACTTGGTTTCAGCTCTTTATTGGCTCCTGAAACAGCTTAAGCTTGAAGGGGAAAACTGCGGCTTTTTATTTCCGAGCCGCGGCGGCCGCGGCCAATGACACCGCTTCGAATCTCCCGCGATTAGTTTCCACCAATCGCGGGGGATTCGCAACGGGCCAATCAGTGCGGCTCGCTCGACCAATCCGGTCGCCGCGCGCTTTAACCAATCGCGACGCGGGGCTACGAGTATGTAAATTGACTTGTACAGAACACCCCTCCCCTCTTGGTTCGGTCCTACGTAACGTAGTCCCGTAGGTAGGCGGGGCTTCGTACTTGTCTACTTGACTTGCGCAGCTTAGTTGTTGTTTGGTTCCCGGCCGGTTCGGTCGGGACTTCTGTTTCTCTTGGCCCTGTCGATGGAACCCCCTGGAAGGTGTCGCTGGGCCTCTTGTTGCAGCTCCCTCCCGGTCTACCCGGGTTGGTCGAGCTGTGACTTTCGCCGCTCCTGCCTGGTCTTTCCGGGCTGGTTGAGCTGGCCTGGCTGTTCCTTCCTGGTGAGACTTCGGGCTGGCTGTTGACTGGTGAGTATTGCTGGTTATTTCCTATTTGATCCCCTGTATCTTCCCTCCCCTCTTGGTTTGTGTTATCGGGGTCGTCTGTGTTTGGTTGCGTGTCGGTTGTGTTTTTTGTTCTTGATCTTATTTGATCGATGTGGCGTTTCCATGTTTGTCCGTCGGTTGTCTGTAACCGGTAGGAGTGGGGTCCTGTCAGTTGGGTTATAGTTGCCGGTACCCATAGTGGGTCTCCGGTAAGGTTTCTTGCATAGATTGCGTCGCCTGGTGCAAAAACCCGGTGCTTGCTAGATGAGTCCGGGGGTTTTTCCGGGTTGTATGTGGGGTGTAGTCTGTCGAGTGGTGACCTTAGTTTTCTCCCCATTAGTAATTCTGCCGGGCTTTTGTTAGTCGTTGTGTTTGGGGTGATATGTTGTATTAGGAGCATTTTATTTATTTTTTCTTGTATGTCCCCGTGTTCGATCTTTTGGAGGGTTCTTTTTGTAAATTGAACCATCCGTTCTGCCCTACCATTGGCCGCCGGATGCGCCGTCGCTGTCAGTGCGTGTCGTATGCCTCGTTCCGCTAGGAATCTTTCGAATTCCAGCGAGGTGAACTGGGGTCCGTTGTCTGACACGATGACATCCGGGAGACCGTGGGTTGCGAAGAGTTTGTTTAAGACCTTGGTTACCGCATCTGTTGTGGTGGTCTTCATGTTGCTTATCTCCAGCCAGTTGGAGTAAGCATCCACCGTGATGAGGAATGTGTTCCCTTTTGTGGGCCCGGCAAAATCTATATGGAGTCTCGACCATGGTCCCCTGGGCGTTTCCCATTCTAATATTGGTGCTGCGGGGGGATTTGGTCTGGTTTCTTGGCAGCGCGAGCACTTGGCTACCCAGGCCTCGATCTCCTTGTCCATACCTGGCCACCAAGCATAGCTTCTGGCCAAAGCTTTAGTCCTCACAATCCCCGGGTGCCCTTCGTGTAATAATTTTAATACCTTCCCTTGCAGTTTTTCTGGTATGACCACCCTGTCCCCCCATAGCAAACAACCTTTCTGTAGTGACAGTTCTGTTTGCCGGTTTCGGAATGTCCTGAATGCTTCATCGT